ACGATGTCTCCGCAAGTGAATGGACCACGTGACTGAAACGATCTGAATGCAGTTTAGTTGGTGCTCTTTGAAATTAGCAGCAACAAATCACTAATTTCGGAAGCAATAATGATTCTCGTGCAGGTTACCCCGATTTATAAAACGAAAATTTGAAAAGTATAGTCCACAAATAATGGCACATACCTGTGTTGGCTTAGTTTTCGGCTCTCCTACAGAGGATAGATTGGGTACCAGACTCACGTGGGCGCAACAAAAGTTTTGCTGTCCGACGCGATACTGAAGTTGGCGGAAGGCTTCGACAAAAGGCATTGACTCAATATCGCCGATGGTGCCACCAAGTTCAATTATACAGAGCTCAGGAACCTTACCAGAGGCGTCAACTGGCATTTGGGCAACTTTGATCACCCATTCTTGAATTGCATCGGTGATATGAGGAACAACCTTAAAGACAAAATATTACCTTATATTGAGAATGACGACTACAATGAAACCATTCGGAATGTCAGATTTCAGTCATTTATATAGACGAACAGCAAAATCGAAAGACGGTTTCGCTAAATAAGCTAGAAGGCACACACAATCTTAAGCAGTCATTCCCCCCACAACCGGCAACATTTTATACGATATTGTAGGTAGATGAATACAGGCAAATCCAGGTTCCGCTAGGCGTCGAGTAACCGTATATACGATGCCATGAGACTAGATGAGGAGGCTACTCAGAGCCAGTGCCCTAATCGATCACGTTTGTGTTACAATATTTGATACTGACAGTACATGACAGAGTCATTAGCTATATCATATTCACGAAATAATTAAGAAAAAACGATCAGAACCAATCTCACCTGGACAGTTTTCCCTAAGTATTCACCTTTTCTTTCACGTTGAGTAACCTGTTGGTATATTTTGCCTGTGGTTATATTGTGATCTTTGGTCAAAGTGACGTCGATATAACGTTCATAATTCCCAAGATCCAAATCCACTTCACTACCATCGTCAAGGACATAAACCTCTCCATGTTCATAAGGCGAAAACGTCCCAGCATCAATGTTCAAATACGGATCAATTTTTATGCACGTAACTACCCAGCCATTCGCTTTCATGAGTGCTCCAACGCTGCTGGACACAATGCCTTTCCCGATTCCACTGATCACACCGCCTGTTACCAGAAGATACTTCATTCTCGAAGAAAAACAAGGGAGGTAAAACGCGTTGTAACGTGCCTACCAAGCAACGGCCTAAATAAATAGGTTACTACTAGATCGTCCTTCCAGAATGACTACGTCATCATAATTGACATCCAGGCATGAGAAAGCACGTGTGAGGTGAACCTGGTGTATTAGAGAAAAACGTATACAAACACAGAGGGGCTAGAGATAAAAAGATGATTTGAACAGGAATAGGAAGACGGTAGGAAGGGTACAGGTTGCCCTCAGGCCCGTAGGGACGCCTCGAAGAATAAGGAGTGGTAGAAGGATAGAGGACATAGCACACGAGCGTGATTGATCGAATTGCGCGCGTTACAGTTTGGAAGGACAAAATACCCGAGTTGCAAAGCTGCGACAGACACATGAAAAATGTTAATTCGATTATGAAGTTACTGATATATGACCCATCAATGTCACATGAATAAAAGAGACCAAAGAACATAACGGTAACACTCAAAACAAAAGCTTTTTTATTATTTCCACCACTGAAGCTTCCGAAAAGTAAATTCTGCAAACTGCTAGTGCGAATAACCAAATATTATAAGTCAAAAAGACGGCATTCTAGAGTTCCGATTTTTTTGGTATTGGAATAATTTCTTGTCGCCTGGATCAACATTCCATCACGACCAATTTATTTCGCTATTTTCAAGATTGCATTGATTTGACCTAAAAAATAGGTTAAAAAATTTTAAGGTTGCATTTTTCTAGAATGCTTAGATAATAACTTATTGCATATTTGCAAGGTAGATAAGCCTTAGGGTATCGGAATTTTGAATTGTTCAAAGCTTGTCTTTTGATACAGCATGTTCTACAAAGGATGATTTTCGGTCCCAGTTTATGTGAAATTTGGAAACGGATGCAAATTAAACATTTGCGAACTTAAAGCTTTACGCAATATTACATATGTTTAATAGTCATATTTCAAAGCTTTTTTTAAAAAGACTGTCGTTATCACAGTCGACAGTTTGCTACAGTTGAAAAATGTTTGACTTTTGAAGTGTTTTATAGGCTGTCTATAAACAAGTTTCGCGGTGTAAATAAAATCGCCGTAAGCAATAATGAACATTTATATTGCTGTTATCCTCAATAATAAGTAGAATAAATAGTAAATGTCATACGGGAAATGCATGAAGCAATTAGAGTCCTGAGCACTATCGGACATTTTTTAAATTTTTTCCAAAAACACTTGCATAGTAGTCCGAAGCGTTGCACGGAATTAACATGACAAATGTTACACTTCCTCGGCTATTGAAAGTTTCACTAAGCTGTAAAAATAAGGGAAGGGATCAGACTTTCGAGGGAACCTGGAGGGGGTTAAGTATTATTCAGAGCTGGATGCTTTTTTATAGTCTAAGCAACCTTTTATCACCGACGTTTCCATGTAATTTTCCACCTATTGATATAGTACCAAATAATCATTTGGGTCGTTGGAGTGGAGGGCAAGTATTGGATAGTCTGTTTTCCTTGATGCTTTAAAGCATGTCTTTTTTTCTAATGTGATCTTAGACAGTTTATCCATAGGCTCCAAGTGTTTACCAAAATGCTCAATGCAAATTTTGGCTTGTGTTACTTACATAAAGTTGTTTTTGTCAACATCTCTTGATGTTGAGGCACTTTGAAATGTCTATTTAACTCTTCTTTGGAGTAAAACAGATATATCCTAAAACGACTTTTGCAGGAACATGTGAGACGTTTCTTTTATTAAATTGGAATCTATATGATCTAAAACTTTCGTTGTCAAATAGTGATTGTCTTCGAGTGCCAACTGAATTGTGGTGAAGGCGATTAGAGGCATCATTATATATACCTCAAAAGTCGATCTTGTTGACTGGAGCCCTTTCCAAATTCCTCCGAATCAGATTTATTTGTTAAAAAGCTTTGATGGTCGGAATGGTATAGTCCTTATATATAAATTGGTAAACAGCAGTTCGGAATGTTCATCCTTAATTTCCGGTTCTGAAGTGTGATTACCATCGGATGGATACAGCAAAGTACGGTGAGGTTCTCTGCATCCATTAATGTCACAACTGCTCGACGACCGGCAGTTCAGGTAACACAATTAATTTATAAGCAGCGTTATTTAAGCTTTAACTCCTCAACCACTGACAACCTTTTTGTGTTAAAAGATAAGAATATTATACATTTGTCACTATAGGCAGATTTTCCGGAGAGAGAACAGCAAGGAAAAGCAGAATGCTCACGTCAGTGCAAATTACCAGATTTTCACTTCTCCTTGACGTCTTGCTTTCTCCAGCTTTGATTCAATGACTGTCTCATTAGACCCCGAGGTTTTAATGTCGGCCGCACTAAAACAAATCTTAATAATTCATCCAACCAAAGATTTTTCATCTCCTGAGTTCTCATAGCTATCTTGGCCCATACGAATAGCGAGGGGATTGAAAGTCTCTTGACGATCGCCTTGAGTTTTATGTTTGAATTCTGTTTAATTGCGTTAAGATGTCTTCATCTGGTGGCACAAGTTTTTTAAGTCATGGGTGTTTTCGGCTTTAAGTTGGGGTAACAGTGGCACTTTGACCACTTCTCATTTTAAGGATGTATCATGCAATAATTAAGCCCGCTTCATCATCAAAATAAGTGCATATCTTTTTAGCTTCTAGTGGACTTAATTTATCGGACTGCAGTCAGTGCGTTAGACTGGTTGCTCTACACTTAACAGCAGAATGGAAAAGTCCGAATGAAGCACATAATGTTTTTGGACCACCAATGATTTTTTGAATTCAAATTTAGGTAATTTTGTCAAATTATACACAGTACCAACTTACGTTCTTTTAAAGTTCTAAGCCCCTTTTATTGTGACATTTCAAGTTAAACTTGCCTTTCAACTTCTGACAGACGCAACATTGCAAGGTTTCAACTACAAACAAAGTTGTTTAAATATTGAATTCGTTTAAAATCATGCAGTGTCGATGTTACGCCTATTTATTATATGGTAAACGATATTGCAAATAACACAAGCATGAACAATAGTAGGTAAACCCATCGAAATCGAGAACATGAGAAATGTTGCAGACGGTTTAATTTTGAAACTAAAACACTGTAACCCTATTCACGTGTGTCTAGTAATATTACGATCCAAATTAAACAGCTGGACAAATTTTTAAAGTCACAACAAGCCAACCTTTGTGCTAGAAAACACTGAGGAAAGTAGGGGAGATCTGGATTCACGTTCACGGTCCTCAAAGCTTCCTTTATCGATAAAGACATTTTTTGGGAACATTGCATTTACCATTGCTACACTTGCTTTAACTATCATGAATAATGAGTTTGCAGCAGTTTACATTATTAGTTCATAAGGATTACCACGGTTTATAGAATCAAATCGTTTCCCTTATGCAAAAAATATTCTAGCTGCGAAATTACTAATTTCACGTTTTTATTCCACGAAGGTTTAAGAAGTTGGTAATTAACTATGAATTAAACTAGCACATTTTGGCCTCATGCAATTTAATGAATAATTGATTTTTCTCAATCAAGAAAGGGGTCTTTGTACATTCTGCTGTATATTAAAGACTTTTTTAGGATCAAAAGTGCTCTTTCTTTTTTACCTATTTAATACTGGTTTTTAAAAACACAATTTTTTAACCACATAGACATATAAATCTTACTTGTTAGTAAACGTTTATTATTACGGCATTTTTTGACCCGCTTCCACTTAAGTGTGCGATATCATAAAATGAATTAACTTGTGATATAATGTTTTATAATGCTTTTAATTTGTATTATTTAGGGCATGCGCAGTACAGTTGCATTTACGTAGCATTTAAGCTTTAAAATTGCTCTTGTTTTAACCCAGTAAAGGACCTTGAAACATAATTTATAAATTAGTGGCTTATACAAATCCTTGGCGCCTGCATCGCTTTAACTTGAAATGTCTCAACAAAACATAAAAATAGTTATTGTTGGTGATGGTGCGGTTGGTAAAACATGTTTACTACAAAGAAAGGCAACCGGCAACTTTCCAGAGGGTTATGTTCCGACTGTAGGTTATCATGCTTTTCGATGATCTTTTCCAGGTGTTTGATAATTATACTGCCCCAATCGATATAAATGGCAAATCCTACCTACTGAATCTTGTAGACACAGCTGGTCAGGAAGGTTATGAGAGGCTCAGGAGCGTTACCTACCCCAACACTAGTGTTTTTATGTTGTGTTTTGCTGTTGATAATAGAAGTTCATTTGAAAATATTGAATCCAAGGTACTTGTTGTTTAATTACATTATACGCTAGTTGATCACAGTTAAATTAGTTTACGTAATGCTTTCTTACAGCATAAAATTCGTTTTACATCGCTTACCAAATGTTTGTTATTCTGATTTTGAGAATACATTTATTCGCTGAAGGTGTTTTTAAAGTTTTAAAAAGTTAAGAACCATAGTAATAAAATTCCCGTATATGATATTACTTTTTTTAATGTTTTGGAAAAAGTTTAGCAGGAAATTCGATGCATGTTTGATCCTAATTTATAATGAAACTTTAATGGAGGTTCGCTGTAAGATTGGTGAAACTAAAAACTGCCATTAATTTTTTTAATACTACCTGGAGTCCTTAAATGTCGGAGCGCATGATTCCTTTGAGGCAATGTTAATTTTGGGCATTTAAATGATGGACTAGTGACTGTAATACTATGGATCACTTTAGAAATGTCATACCCGTAGTTCGAGTTCTTTATTTAGCAGTAGAATTTTGGATTTGAATCTAATACACTCTGGTCTAACATAATCGACTTCGAAATCTTGCCATTTAGTGGGTTCCTGATATTAAAACAAAGGAACACCCGGTGCCAATTCTCCTAGTTGGGTGCAAATCCGATGCCCGCTTAAACAGAGCTGGAAATATAAATACAATGGGCGGTCGCATATTGATGTACTCCGAGGGAACTACACTGGCACGGAAAATCGGAGCAGTAGCCTACATGGAATGCTCCGCAAAAACTAACGTACGTTACTTCTTGAGATTATCGGCAAATCATGTTTTCATTTTAGAATAAAACGCTGCCGTTAAAATGCCACTTTTAAAATTCTGTCACTGAGTACTCCCTAGTATTTTTAACGTGAATGGATAAGACCTTAATACATTGAAACACGTGTAGTAGGGAGTCGCCGATATAAGTTTTTTCTCCTAGATTGTAAAATGCCTTTTTTATTTTTAGGATGGTGTTAACGAAGTATTTAATAAAGCCGTTCTAGTGGGTGCTGGTCTTGAAAAGAAGAAGCGCCGTCGATGCGAGATAATGTGAAGTTATTATTTATATTCAGTGACTTTACTAAATGTACCCTTTTGAAATACCCGTACGGATAACTTGTAAAAGATATATTATTGTAATTTTTAAATACAGTGGTTATTGCTTAGTTTGATAAGCAGTATCAGCGATTTTGCAGAATGCTAAAGACGAATATTGCTTTCAGAGATCTGAAATGATTTTCAATTGCAAGCGCTTTAGAAGTGGCAGTTGAGGTGCACACTTTATTTTGCAAAATTAAGGATCTCTATTATCATATTAATAATATGTATTTTGATGTGCAACCTTTGGGAATATTGAATATGCTCATAAAACTAGGTGTTGAAATGTCTTTAGGTACTTCGTACGGTTTCGTTATATATTTTAGTTATCTGTATTAATGTTGTTTGGCTTTTGATTTTTGGAAAACATAAACGCAATTTTATTTTCAGGGTGTTCAATAGATTACTGATACTTATTGATCTTATAGCAAAGAAACATCTCAACCTCGATGTTTCCGTCTGGCTTGTTTAAGTAGAAGGCAGGGATGAGGTCGAAGGCACAGCCATAGTTAGGTTTTTAGCATACATTTTTTTGTAAACGATCTTTAACAATTCGTCCAGTGGTTGAAGCTGGACATGTGCTATCTAAAAAGATGTTATTAATGTCAGAGTTCTTTGAAACATAGGTACCTTGTAATATCCATACTCGTTGTTGAAAGTTAAGGATTGTCTTTTGTTATTTTTCTGTTGGTGTGCACATCTGCGATCTCAGAGGCCACCATAGTCTATAAGGCCACTAAAACAGTTTATGGAAAGCTAGAATAGATTAATAAGATTTATTTTGCCAATGACACTGATGAAAAATGTTTTCCCGAAGCCTTGAAGTGATGCGTAGCATTCGTGTACGTAATTTACAATACCATCAGTCAACCTGGCTAATACTATTTCACAAAGCCAATTAAAAGTGAGTTTGTGCTTCACTTGGTCTATGTTGTTTAGTTGGCTGAAGTCCTGCGACCACACCCGTTCAAGTGGATCGAAAGCCCCCTGAGAGTTTGCATCAGCTGTGGGTAGCCCATCATACCCTTTGAATGCGGTGCTTGACAAATATTTTTTGCTGGATCTGGTTCACATTAACGTGACACATGTGCTTGTGCACATTAGTGGCAAAGCATGGATTCCGCCACAAGAATGCACCAAGAACTCTCTTATTAAGTTTGCCTTGTATACTACTACTGTTTGTTACATGCGTGACAGTTCAGCGCTTTACGCACACTACAACTCATTAGGTGCTACGGATTGAAATCATTGTACATCCAAGTACTCAACGCCATGTAAAATTTGAGTACAAAGAGCTCATATGTTTTGAAGTGTTGTGTCCCTAAATCGCAAATGAAATATCTACTTTGTACTTGAAACAATTCTGTGATTTTCAAATCATGGTCTGTTTGCATTTGGCTGCATTTTATCGCTTGTTGAAACATTTCATTAGGGAAACATGGTGCCTTTAAAACTACCATGAAAAAAACAGTCTAGGTATTTATCATGTTACCCTGAGTTAGCGAAAACGGACATAAAAAGTTCGTGCTTTCTTAAAGCCTTGCGGGATAAAGCTATGCTTTCTCCTCAACTCATTCGCCAGAGGTACACGACCATGGACTAAAACACCCATAAAGCGGTGACAAACATCTGAAGCCTTAAGCCGAAATATCCTCACTTTTACGACACCATTGGTTAGCCTAATGGTCTAAGGTAGTTTCCAAATTGAGGCGATGAGAATGAAAGCTCTTTAGATCTGACTCAGCCATTACCTCAAACAGCGATTATCGATGCAAAACTTATCCAGAGTGTGAATCTGCTAATGGCTGATGTATCCGATATAGTAAAAGTGGATTAGTAGCCTATATTTTGATTAGATGTGTCACTATAAAAGGCGTCTAGGGTACTCTGAGAGCTCCTAAAAAGTCACCTCTCGAAGTATCTGCTACGCAGACGCCTCAGCATTGATTTTAGCTAGTGGTAATGTGCAGGTCTCTCCGTAAGTGTTAGCCCTAATTGCATGACTGAAGCGTATAAAAATAGAAGTTATTGGCACAGTTTTGATTTGACGTCAGCCGCTAAGCTGTTTTTGAAGCATGTGCATAAAAGAGAGCCTCAAGAGGTACAAATTAAAAATCTATTTCACCTTGAAATAAATTGAGTGCAAAATATTTTTAGTTTACGTCCAAAGGTGATGACACAGTGTGAGTTGTGTTCTTTTTGATTAGAAATGCTCTCGGAAACCACCCAAAGAAGCCCTTCATTTTTTGTCTTCTTTGCGCTGACCCTGAGTGTAGGGGTCAGTTTGAGATTGCCTGGTTTGCAGTAAAGTAATAATAGAACAAAAGACCTAAATTAACTCCAAAAGATCCATAGCGGTGATCTTGAAACGCCTGTTTAGCTTGTTACATTATTTTTGTCTCATAATTACGACAACCTCTTCGCTTAAATTAAAAAAAGGCTTCATTCACTTTTCAGATAAAAAGTGTGTTATAATGGCCCTTCTTCGGAGTGTTACTTAGTAAATGCAAGCCAAATAGGGAAGCGTTTAATTTTTGAATACGAATTTAATGGCGACCAATAGTTGACTTGCCTTTCAACTGGTTACACAAAAATAGGCAACTTAAGACCAAGAGCGGATTCTTCCTAAATCGTTAGATGTATGAAATTGGCATTTTTACAGTGAAATGCCAAGGGTGATAAAACCCATTAAATTACGTTGACCGATTTTAGGAATTCTAGACAGTTAGCTATAAATTAACGCACTGAACACAAGTTCATTGCAATTTTTCCTTACATATGGACTCTGATCATACTGAAATTAAACTCTACTCACATTTTAAAAATAGAATGTTTTTCCAGAAAAATAAACTCATAACTAAAATGACAAATTAATACCAAACTTTTAACCCTCAGTCTCATTAGACTACTTCCCTTATGGCCGTCCTGACTGTTAGTCTGTGTGCGCTTGTCGACTCATGCCAGATTTTTGGAAATATAGAGTACTGGTACGAATTCATGTAACATTGATAGCAAATCAGCAACCTAATAAGAGATCCTACAATTTGTACTGTAAATGCGAAACAAATTGATGCAGTAAATGGTGCAAACACTAGAACGGAAAACGATCTTGAGACGCAGGACAGATAATAGATATGTGAATCCCGGATTAGTGCAACTTTACTCAGATAAATTATCAATAGGTAGACGAGGGCGATGGTAAACACCCTCTTATATTGTGCACTTGCAAGTAATAACTCAAAATTGCCTTTAGTAGGATTGGTCAAGTAAGCGGTTTCAGTATTTGCATCTTCAGGTTGCTCAAAGTTACTTTAAACAACTGCCAAAAATTTAGTAAAATTTGTGTACGTGTTGCCAAGACTGAGGAAATCTTGGCTGAAATAAACACTGATAATTTGAATTAAGCACGCATTGACTGTCCTGGTATAATAACATGAAAAATGTTATCAGCACTGCAGTAAAAGTAGCCCACAGCAAGGCGACGTCACCTTGTCAACGTTAGAACGTGCATTGTTAGTTTGAAACTGCGAAGCGGGACCTGAGAGCTAATACGTGGCAGTGGCCACCCAATGTCGCCTGATTTGCACTGTAGCGAATGGGTTTCATTCACGTACCCCACCCAGTTGCCGCCTCCATTTCGATGCGACCCCGTCGAACACGCAGACAGTTTGGCCCTTTTGCACGTGCCTCTCCGGCCGCTCGTCTCACTTCTAGCCATTCAATCATTTTCGCTCTTAATATTTCATCCAAAATGCATTAGTCAATAATTTCTTCTAAAGGCACACAACACAACCTGATTGAGCCACCATCTTCAGTCTTCTTTATCCATGTAACGCAATCGGGCCAATAATATGCGGTGAACCCTGTATGACTCGAGACCCCATGCCGAAGCCTTCAACCATTCGGTCAATTTTGAGTAGTTGAGTTAGAATTCAATGAAGTTAAATGCTTTATTGAATTACCTGGGAACGCAAAACATGCATTGATCAGACAACCAAGATTAAGCTAAGTGCATTTTGCTTGAATAATTCGAAATAAAATTTCAATCTAAACAATGCCCAGAAGTGTTGATTTGCAGTATCCTACAACTGTGCTAGGTAATAACCTGAGAACAGAGGAGACACTGGCGGCAGCCGATACGACCGTTAGCTTGCTTTGAGCCAGCTACATGCGTGCCTGCGTGTGGGCGCATGGGAATGATCATCAAGTGACTGGGAGTATCGACACCCTGGTAAACCCATTCGGTGAACCCATTCGGACAACCTGCACTCATACGTGTCTGCTGACGGCCCAATACAGTTCTTCGTCCCGTGTGTTAAGTGTAATAGGAGTCGAAATTGCATAAATACAAGGAATGCACGTCTTACGCAAGCTACCACCTTCCTAGCGGAAAGGCAAAACGATATTTCATACGGAACCCAGGTAACACTTTGAAATGTGTACCCTTATGTAGGACGCGGAAAACCATGAAGTCCAGAAATACAGAACAACTGAACCAATTGGATCAGCCAATGTGTGCAGGAAATCTAATTTCCTTGAAGTATTAAACTGTGCTTTTACTTGGATTAACATGAAGCAGTGCTCACTGAAGGTGGCTGCAACTGCTTCACCTTCATGTGAGGGATTGGTTTGTGTCCAGTTGTTCTAGTGGGGATTTTGTCATTACCGTGGGTAGCTGAAAAGTGTTTAACGGTAAGATTTGTAGGACTATGGTTTCATCATGAGGTGTCTCCTTGTCTTGTGCTAGAATAACTCGTTATCGATAATTGACCAATTGGTTTTGGCCTTCTGCCACATCAAAAATAGTTTTGAGGCCACACGGCTGTCGTCACCTCAGATGGATTTCCAGATTTCAATCCTGTAGTCTTTAGTCTCTTGAGGTGTATTAGAAGCAATGAAAAATTGATTGATAAAACTTGCGGCCCACTGACACCCTGGACGCCGACATTTTACCTGGAAGTACCTCATTTGGTGTCGGTAAAACAAATGAATGTTTTAATAGATGTCAATAGATAATCCTTGCTTTTGAAATTTGAGTAGGGTGTATTTGAACTTGCATGATGTTGTGTTGCTACCAAACTTCTGGCATTAAATGTTAGGCAAATGTGGAATCCTGTGCTAGCTGCAAATGTATAAGAACCCTTATATCATCCTCATTGATGAATGTGGATTCATTTCACCAATTTCCGACCAACATCAGCGGACACTGACCACCACAACGTACGGAATCCCGCTGATGCATCTTACAAAATCAGTATGAAAGCAGGACCAGAACTCTTATGCTTAGGGCTGATAAATAAGAGAAGTTGTTGAGGAACTTTTGGCGACATTCTAAGATTGGGAGTGTGCTGAACCTTGTGGATTCACATCCGCAATCAGAGTTCACGTACGAGCACTTCCCATGTTTACCCAATACCACAGATTCCCATTTGAGACACTCGATCCTAACCCGATTTCAGGCAGCAGTGCAACAGAGCATCGACAAGTTGAACGATGAGGCCAAGTGCTTTTATTATGTCCTCGACCGCATCATCAGTGGAAAGCAGCGCAAAGACACCGGAGTGAACTATGAGTGGTATATGAAGGTGAATAGGATTTACGACGAGGGCAAACCCACCTGTCTTGGTGAGTGCGCAGACGACTGCTCCGGTGTTGAAACCTACCTCGTGAGTGCACACGTAAGTTCACGAGATGACGAGGAGCCACAAATCCTCAAACTTCATCGCACCCCCCTCTGAATTCTACGGCGTCTCTTCCCACTCTTTATTCGTTCTAATCAACACCATTTCGAAGTAATTCATTTGGTCGTTTTCGCCACACCTTAATTCCTACACTTGCAAAGACCTGCCCATTATCGCCAATATACGATTTCGTCTTTTAACTCAAGTACACCTTAACTCAAAATGCGTTTTAAAAGGTGCTCATTAGGGAGAGGCGGACTTACTAGAAATTCGTCATGTTAAACCTACCTGTGTTGCGTCCCAGACGATGACTCACAGTGAATAGGCGTGCATGCTAACCACCGATCGATTCGCCAGTCTGAAGCATCACGACACCAGGTCTGCCTGTGTGCATTAATCCCACAGCACACGCATCTGCAGCTCAAGTTGGGGCATTGCGCAATCAGTGTGCCCACCTTATTTAGGCTCGATCTTGTCAAGTTGAACTGTGACTTTAGAGTGAAAGTGCACCCATCTCATTGGTTACCACTGCATGATGGACCTGACTATCGATTTAAGTGCCGCGGTTGAGGTTAAACAAGTGCCCTAAGTGATCCCTTTTGAACGAGGTCTGGTCTAAATGTGTCGACTGACTTCATTGAAACATATTAAATACTGTCTAAAATTAGCCTCTCTTCCGTAGATGTCAATCTTTTTTAACTTATACCATTTGCGAAAATCATTTATCCTTTCTCTGTCATGCCAGTTGTTTTGAATGAACTACTTTTACTCACTGTTTTCATGCTGTCTGTCCGACGTTTAAAAAAATCACACAATTAACCCCTGTACGTTTAACTTGACTTACGATGGACCTTAAGACGTGTAAGATCCCATGCTCTCACTAGTCTCACCTTCCTAGTACAGAGGCACAGCTTTAAAGACCTGTCTTAACACCTTCAGCTGCCCAAATATATATATGTTCCTGTAGTGATCTTGATGGCTGAAATGTTACGGAAGCCCTAAGATGGGCGTTAGCAGACTAGCTGTGGCGGCAGATATGAATAGCAAAAATTCATGCAGATCACAAACGCAGATATAAATTTATTATTTACATGAAAGTATGGCGTATAAATTTCTGATGCTTTTCCATTGCGTTACCTATACGCGCGATTTACCATTCGTTTTTTAAATCTTGATTATACATAAAATTATAAGCTCCTTTTGTAGTTTTTATGCTCGGGGTTTAGTCTATGTAGCAAAGACAAAAAACGTGGAGTCATTTTGAGTTGGGGAAAGAGAAGTAATTCATTTATGATCCCACGTTTAAGAATTTGAACCACTAACAACTACGTATGTGGTCATAGTGTGGTAAGCGTGGAAAAACGTTAAAATCAGTTTCGGTGCTCATAAGAGTTAAATCTGTTCAGTGTTTCACCATGCTTGTAGTAAAACCCTTCTTAGGGTATTGCCTAGTGAAAGAACCTTAGCGAATGCCTCTTATCCTAAATATTTCAAATTATTACTGTGATAGCTGGTTCGTGATTCTGACGGAAATAATTTTTCCTTAACACTCAACTTTGATGGCGGAAAGAATCTGACATCGACTAGGTAAAATTCTGTCGTTGGTAGTTGCCTATCCACTCTTCTGAAAAATCATAATAATTAAGGTGAGTTAAAGCGTGGCTTTATACAGCAGTATTGACACATGGGATTTTCAGCTAATTTTAACCAAAGCAGGTAGATAAAGGTCAGGGTCGCATTCTTATCTAGTTATTGTTTTGATAGAATAAATAGCTGCGTTAATTTTGTGAAATGGGAGGTGGACTTCCCTGCCTTTTGCTCAGATGTGCTGTTGTTGTTGTGCTTGCTTGTTTTGGAAAAATCGGTTATTTTCAACATCAATAAACACCTGTGCTCTATTCCACATACTTATGGGTTGTGCAAAGCAAGCAGGATCATGTCTGTTGCGCTTACAGTTGTTGTGTCAGTCTTGTTAAAAAACAACATGGCCTTTACATCTACCTTGATGCTTGAAGAAAGGTAGATATCTACAAAATAAGTGCTCATATGCCTTTTTCTCAAAAAAAATTAATTATAAATACTCTCAGCGTGAAAGTACAAGAACTCATTCAAAAGTTTAAAGTTGTTTCCTTGAACTCCTGTGGCTTCCTGTGTCAGCAAACATAATAATTAGTTTAAAAGTTGGTGATTTACTAAAATTATGTCCTTGTGGCATGCATAAGTTCACTGATAAAAATAGTTATTCAATATTGGTAGCTTATAAATCGTCAATGACCTCTGTCACACTGCCTCCGGTTTCTAAGTTGATTGGCGATACTGATTATTCTAGAGTGAACGCAATCTCCAAAGTGCGTCCTTTAATTGTGTACTTTGCATAACCGAATGCCTACTGAAAGGCAAATAAGGAGATGTCAGGTGATTTGTAATACTTTGCCTTTCATCAGTATTGAAACCAGGCATTTTACATAAAAGGAGAAAAGTGTCCAAGCAGAACCGGACTTGAACTAAGCGGTCGTTTCACTATTTGCTGTTGTATGCATTGTCCTGTGTGTAAATGCATAATTTACGTGCACAAATGCTTCCGTTCAACCTGGACAACGTGTTTGAGGTTGTTAATATTTTAAGACTATTCCACTCAAGTATTCGCAAGCGTACACAGGAGGAGGACTCGAAGGTTTGTAACGCACAACACACCCCTTTGGTGTAGGTACGCGGAGCGGGTAGATGGTGGTTAATAATTTAAAACCTTTTGTCAAAATGCCTCAGCACTCGTTGCTCTCACGCCCTCAAGATAGAACTTTTCTTACCGTTCACCCTCTATATCACGATCCTCATTAACAAATAATACTGCTATATATTCTTACATTGATAACTTTTTCGAGTTTCCCAAGCACTATACTGTGACAATTATCTATCGAGTCATAGGTAGAGGTCCAATAAGAACAATAATGTGTAAATGTATTGTTTAACTTTAAATTTAAATATGTTTTGATGATGCAGACAATTTTGGTTTCCATTCTGCACTCACAACCACGGGGCCCCTCTAACTCGGAAAATATTGTCGTCATTGAGGAATCAAAATGCCATAACGAGGGTAGAATCTAAGAAAGGAAATTTAAATGATCAAAAAGTATCATTTCTCACTAAGTCTATAGACTACATCATCATGCAGTGCCCGCCGATCCTCGTGCACAAATTCATGGTTAAAATGGTCACTTAGTGACTAATAAATCACAAGTAGGCAATGTCGACAAACAGTACCAGCTTCTTTGACTCTTGTGGGACATTTGTAGTGGGACGTGGAGGTGGCTTTACTTCATGTGCCTCAACCAGACTGGCCGCTCACGCTTTAACGCCGGACTTACAGTCGATGACAGGTTTCCAATGTGTGTCTTCTTTTGGTCCAAGGAGAAACAAATTCCATACATCCGTTGTGGACCCGAGCATGTGGTCTGGAATCACGTCGGGGCCACGGTATTAACTCTGGTCCGATTATGCTTCCCTGATACCTGCGATGAGGAAAAAGGCCAGATAGGACGTAGACACAAACATTTACTCCAGAGCTCAATCACGTTGGTGTCGTTGAGTCGTGTGTGGGGCTTGCGCGTGTGTATTTATACTTCGGATGTGTGAGTCAAACATGCGCTAACATCGAGACCTAGGTGTGAGAATAATCCAGGATAAATATTTGTGCGAATGAGGGGGGAGTTGAGGATCCGCGCCGCTGGCGACATGCTGCGAAAAGATGAACCCTGTGTCGGAGGTGGGGCGACCGGATTAAGGGGTGCGAATAAACACGATTCACAACAAACCTATGACTGTACACACTTAGATTAGACTCCGTATTCATTCTCTTCTACAGCAATCATACGAGCCCAGTGTTCACAAATTTTGCGAGCATCAGAGCTTTTAATGCAAACAATTTAAAAAGTAGTAAATATTGCAAAACTATCAGACTCATTTGTTAATCACTGTGTCTAAGAAAACTACATAGGCTGTAAAAGGTGGTAGTAATCGGAGTTCAGCTTAAATAAAACTTTACTTTACAAAATCATTACCTCGCCTCAACTGTCCACGTGATCTTTACCACTTTAAACGGTGCAACACACAGCACAATACAAATTCCGAATGAAGTTTTAAACATTTTAATGTAATTGTTGTAACAAGCTGTTTCTCTTGTATGTTTTAAAGGTGCAAAATTTGACGTTAGACAAGGGGTAATGTCAAAGTGTAATCAACGAGTTGGGTATCGTGTTTATGCAAACAGATGAGGTATTATATACACAAGCCTAAATGTAAACAACGCAGTAGTCAACGTGCAGCCGAAAACAAGGACAGCACGGTCGTCATCTTCCGGATCCGTCAGTCTAAACACTTTCTAAGAGCAGAATCATCACAGCTGAATAATCATCCGAAAAGGTTGTATCTGTTGAGTCACAGCGATTTGTTTGATCCAATTAACTTTAGGATAAATATTGTATTATCCTCTGAGCGATTTCTATTCGAAATTAAATAATTTCAACACGAAACGTAATTAAAATGTCAGGTGTTTGAATACCATTCATTTTTGCAGTAATTTGAGCAAACTTGACTACGAATCAATCTAGCACTAAAAGCTGTCCTTTTTTTATATTTTAACCTAACACAACCTGATAACTGACAATAGAATATTTGATTAAAGATCCCGATAATAATGCTGAGATTCCCTCGTCAGCCTACGTCGATCAATTAAAGTACTACATGATGGTAATTCGAGCAACCCAGACAAGAATTTCCTCACAACAAGCACACATTAAACCAGGTTTGTTCACTTCTCTTTATGATGGTGTAAAAAACCCTTACAATTACTTTATTATGGCCCCTTTAAGGTGGTAGAACGCGCCGACAAATTTTTCGTAATTGACAAAAATGGATTGCTGTGTACTGTGAGCACAGATAGTCTCGAAGCTGTTTTTACGGAAGACAAAAATGTTCCTCCTACATACTCAAGCAATGACGAACTTGCTCGACAATATCCCGTACCCTAATCCTGCCCAACCTCCCGTTTTGGCCGACCCCTGAGACCCGTTGTCCACCTTGCTGATTCCGTTCGATAGTTTTTGAGCGTTCCCTGTTTTACAGCTCACACTCTCCGAAAGGAATGTTTGTAGCCGATTAACGGTGATCACGCCTGAGTGGACCCTGTTTACTGACCTGACGTTGACAATGACTCATCTCCTTTCCATTGGTTACTGTGATCGGATGCCTGCCATCTGTCACTCATCCACACACTAAGACACACTCGGCTGGCGTGACGCTAATAAACGGTCGTGTCCTCTGTCGCCTCTTGTTTCACTCTTCTAGGGTTGGTACGGGCTGTTAACTAGAGGGTTGTAAGGTAGTGCTAGACCACATGCCACAACAATTACTTACACTCCTAATTTTTCTAAAAGCTTGATTTTGAAAGTATGGTGTGCTGAAGGTCTTCTATTGTCCTCTAACGGCAAACTGCACTGTCTCTAATGAGTTTGCAGTTCAGCATTGCAATTCATGAAGTAATGTTGAGCTTTTTTGTTACTTTGATGACACAAGGAACATCAGAGTGGTAGTAATCTCTCACGCTCATGCCCATACTTAGTTGTGCACGCTAAGTTAGGCATGTACAGGGGGTCAACTTGCATAGATGACATTTTAGATATGTTGTTAAATATTTAATGAAGGTAAAGTTCTTGCCTTAACTTCAGGTATAAATTTTACGTATAAACAGTATTGATTATTTGGGGGTTCGTTCTTGAGAACGATAACATCCAACATCAGTTGTCTAATTTTATATGTGTCCAGCCACCGAACCCATCATTGAATAACCATAGCAACTCAGTATTTTGCTCTTAGTGAAAACAAAAGAGGATATATTTTTTTAAATTCAGTTCTGACCATAATTTTCTGGTTTTTCCTCTGATTGCCGGGGATATTTTTGAAGAGAATGATTGGTAGTGACTGTCAAAATTTGGTCGAGGATGTAATTTGAGATCTTTGAAAAAGATTTAAACGACGGGGTTGATAAATAGACTGCTGTTTGCATTATACCCTCAGAAACTAATCAGCAAATGTCAAAGCCAATATAGACTCGCAACCTGAGCATGCCAATTTAAATCTTTGCATGTATTGCATGCTTACGACTAAATAATTCCCACTTCAACCTAGTTCATAATCATATTTTTCTGCTTTTCTCCGCCCTACCACCCTCTTTTAGTCCAATCCATTATTCAAGAGTTCCGTGGCACACATGGATGCCTGCTACCGCTAGGAGCAAGGGTTTTTCATGCTCCCGCATGGGCACTTTTTTGCCGCAAAACGGTGAAATATTAAAATTCTGTCACATCAAATTATCTCTTTCATCGGTAAAGAGGAGGTGCAGGATATTTCCTTAGAAGGAATTTGCAAGAGACGTCGAGAGAAAGGGGGGAAAGAAGAAGCCAAACTGAAAGAAATATTGCAACCGCTGCTCCAGAAGATCCTTACTACATTCCTAGATAAAACAGTCAGGATAAAATTAGTCGTGCACTTCAATCCTTTCAGCAAAAGTGAATTGCTATTGTAATTACGATTTTCTCGATTCATAGAATCTTGGGAATGTCAATAAGAAGATTTGGATGGACATTGCACTGTAAAACAGGGAACGCTCAAAAACTATCGAACGGAATCAGCAAGGTGGACAACGGGTCTCAGGGGTCGGCCAAAACGG